CATGGCTTCCATGACTGCCACTGGCCTATCTCAGGTCATCCAGAGCCTGACTCAGGAAAGTGGTCATACTCCAGATTGGTGTTCTTGTCAGAGCAGTGGCAATGTGATCTGAAATTGGGGGAGCTTTTGGTGTCCCCTTTGCCATGGTCAGCTCATACCCTGATTTCTGTGGGTTTCTCTTGTGCCACTATCCACTGCAAGGAGGTTTGACCCATTCGATTGGTCCACCCCCAGCAACTGATGGACCCTGACCAGTTTCAAAGGGAGTTGGGGGTTATTCCTGTTGGTCTGCTGCATGGTCCATCTGAGGCCCTGGTTGCCACTTAAAATAAGGGGGCAGCTGAGGCCTTGGATTGGATCATGCCCATGCGACCTCTTTCCTCTTGGGGATCCTGACATTTCCTGTGGTTTACAGAGGAACTGAGGGAGATGAAATGGAGGCTACTAGAGCATCACTGGCACTCAACAAAGGACAAACTCGACTGAATACAGGTTAGAGCTGCTATTAAGGCCTACCTCATGGCAGTAAGGGTGGCGAAATGCCAGTACTTCTCCACCCTTATTGCATCCACAGAGTGCCACCTCACAGCCCTGTTTTGGGTAACATGGGCCCTCCTAGGTAAGAGAGGTGCAGAGAACCTCTTACAGGGGCATGTGGAGGAATTTGTGCAGCACCTGTTAGATAAAGTCGCTCAGATTTGTTCCCAATTGGATGCTGGCCTTGTCACAGGTCCAGGGGAGATCCCTGAGGAGGAGTCTTGCCTGGTTATCTGGGAACGGTTTGAACCTGTTGGACCTGAGGAAGTGGACAGGGTCCTCAGGACTGTGAGCTCAGCCACCTGCTCTTTAGATTCATGCCTCTCATGTGAGTGGGTTCAGATGGTGGTTAATTCTTTGGGTGAGGGGGTTGCTCCTTAATTTGTTAAAGACGCCGTGGTTTGCCCCCTCCTCAAGAAGCCATCGCTCAACCCCACTATTTTGGACAATTTTTGTCTAGTATTTCACCTCCTTTTTCTGAGGAAAGTGATAGAGAAGGTGGTTGTGCAACAGTTTCAGAGGACCTTGGAGGAAGCAGATTATCTGGATCTCTTTCAGTCAGGATTCAGAACTGGGTATGCGACGGAAACAGTATTGATCATGCTTTTGAGTGACCTCAAAAGGGTGGGATGGGGTAGTGCATCCATCCTTGCCCTACTTGACCTCTCAGCAGCTTTCAATACCATCAGCCATAGTATCATTCTGGATCGACTCAGGGGATTGGGGATGGGCAGCACGGTACTGTGCTGGGTCACCTCCTTCCTTCAGGGTCAATTCCAATCAGTGATGATTGGGGAGGAGAAATCCTGCTCTCAGCCCCTACTATGTGGGGTGCCACAGGGATCGGTCCTTTTTCCTCTCATTTTTAGTATCTACATGAGGCTGCTGGGTGAGCTTATCCATCACCATGGGGTGAGGTATCATCAGTATGCTGATGATACTCAATTATATATCTCCATTCCTGATGAATTAAGCAATGCTGTGAACGTCTTATCCTGGTGTCTGGAGGCTGTGTGTGTCTGGATGTGGAACAACAGCCTGGCACGACTGAGTGGCTGTGGTTTTTGGGGCCTGGTGGTTCCAGGGCTATGCCATCTTTTGTCCTGGGTGGGGTTGCACTATCCCAGACAGACCCAGTGTGCAATCTGGGGTTTCTCCTAGACTCACGACTCCTGCTCAGGGAGCAGGTGGCAATCATGGCCAGGAGGGCCTTTGCACAGCTCTATCTTGTGCACTAGCTGCACCTGATCCTGGATTGGCAGGCCCTGCTCACAATCCTTCATGCCCTAGTCACCTCCAGATTGGACTAGTGCAATGCACTCTACATGGGGCTGCCCTTGAAAAGTATACAGAAGCTTCAGCTGGTTCAGAATGCAGTGGTGAGGGCAGTTATGTGTGCTCCGAGAACAGTGCCTGTTACACCTCTGTTCCGCAAGCTGCAATGGTTGCCAGTTTGCTTCTGGGTCCAATTCAGGATGCTGGTTTT